TTGTATTAGAACAGTTACTACTTGAAATAACTCTAAGTCTATTTATCCATAAGATAGAAAGCTACTAGAGAGAAGAAATTACATACCTTCTTCATCCTTGTCTCCCAAGCACATAACTATTTCATTATTCAGTGTTCACTTTGAAAAGTAAGTCAGTGGGTAGAGCCCAGGTTTCATTAGAAAAGGCAGAAACAAATTATATTTCAGGGCTAAATTCACATTTACCAGAGAAAGATTCAAGTTTAAAAGACCACCTCCTCTAAAACAAATGGCCCATAAAAGTTAGCAGTTAAAAAATCACACAATCAGCCGGGTATGGTGGCTCATGTCTATAATCCCAGCATGTTGGGAAGCTGAATCAGAACTGCTTGAACCTAGGAGTTCAAGACCAGCCTGGGCAAAAATGTGAGATCTCATTTCTCAAGAAAAAAAAAAATTAGCTGGTGTGGTAAAGCTGTAGTCCCAGCTGCTTGGGAGGTGAAAGCAAGAGGATCACTTGAGCCCAGGTGTTGGAGGCAGTAGTGAGCTGATTGTGCCATTGCACAATCAGTTGCCCACAGCCTGGACAACAGAGTGAGACCCTGACTCAAAAAAAGAAGAAAAAAATCACACAATCAAGAACTGAGGGTCTGGCTTGAGAAACTCCCTTCAAACTGGAACTTGGGAGAGGTTATTATTCACACTGCTATTCTGGAAGATAATCTTTAACTTGGGCATTAATCATAACTTGCCTGCTACAAATTTCATGCTATGTTATAGCCTGGCAAAAGTAAACCTTCTTCTGTTTAAATTCTCTCTTCACTTTCAATTACCAATTTCAGTTGTGTTCTCTGAAAGGGGAATTGATGTAGCACACATATTTGCGTTTACTAAGGAAACCATTCAACCACTTTGGAAAGGCCCAGAGCAAAGTGGCCAACAAAAATAATAAATGCAAACTCCAGCTTGTGGCTGCAGTCAGTCTCTCATCTTACAGCCCCCAACAGAGAAGGTTATTGCTTAAACAGAGGGTGTTCATGGATTTAAAAGCAACCTCTGTTGCTAGCAAGTCATAACTTCTATGTATGTAGATTCATGGTGGCACAAAGCCCTGTTTACCTGTGCACATGTTTCCCTCAGCTTCTTTTCTCTCCAATGGCCCATCATCAGAGTTACAGGGAACTGTTCATTCAATAAGCATAAATATCCATTTGGCACAAGGCGCTCTGCTAAGCATCACAGGAAATAGAAATAAGGATAAGACATAGCCCATCCCCAGCCTTCAAAAATCTAGGAGGAGGAGTACATACATTATTATAATATACAGCATGTGTGATAAATACCAAAAGAGAGACACGAAGTGGGTCAGGTATGGATGTTTAAAGGAAGGTAGATGACCATGTTCGAGGGGTCAAGGAAAGATTTTATCACTGTGGGGTGTTGCTGGACGATGGGCAGAATTTGGGCAGACAAGTGGATGAGGGGAGACATTCTAGGTGCAGGAAGCAGTATCCACCAGAGAAGGAAAATATGACTCAAGTTCCAGAAGGACAGGTAGTCTATTTTGGCTGGATTTTAGAAAACCAGGGGAAGAATGACTAGAAAATTTGGCTGGAAGCAAACTATGTAGCCCCCTGAAAACCACTGAGAACTTTCTACTTTACTTGAGAGAGAACTAGGAGTTGCTAATCTCAGTTTTTGAGTCGGGAAGTAATGTGATGAAAATGGTACTGAGGTAAATAAATGTAAAAGACCCTTTTATCTGGCCTGAGAAAGTAGAATGAGTTAGAATGAGAGAGACTAAATGTAAGAATGCTATAGTAATAATCTGAGAGAGAAGGGTGGTACTTTGTTTATGGTTCAAGGACTGATGAGGTGGGAAGATCTGTAGATGATCCTTTGACATTGGTTTCTGGTGTGTTATTCAGCTCCCAAATCTGTGAAATGAGAAATAGTAACTAACAACAAAGTACTGAAAGTGTTATCAATGAAGAAAATGCCAGAGGAAAATGTCCTGTTCTCTCCAGCATATCTCCTTTTTATCGCAGAGTAATTCTGTCCGCTGATTACATGTTTTAATTCCAAATAGAAACTCCTATCCTGCTCCTGGTGAGATCTTAATTGTATATCCTGAGCCAGGTGCTCAGTTCCTAATACTATCTTCAAATGTGGCAATTCACAAGACTGCTTGGCTGATGTGGTCTGGTATGGCTTTTAGCAAAACTCACTTGGTTTTCCTAACTAGTGAAACCACACTACTCCAGTTTTCTCCATACATGAGAAGATTCAAAAAGCATTTCTTGAAGGCCATGGTACTCATTCTCCATCTTCAGCCTTGTTTTCAGAAGGAGGCAAAGTGAACCTCCAAAGTCTCACATGCAAATAAAGTTTCAAGAGTTCATTTAAAAACAGAATCAAACCGGGCTTGGTGGCTCAGCCTGTAATCCCGCGCCTTTGGGAGGCTGAGGTGGGTGGATTGCCTGAGCCCACGGGTTTGAGACCCACCTGGGCAGCGAGACCTCATCTCTACAATAAATCAAAAATCAGCCGGGCGTGGTAGCGCATGCCTGTAATTCCGGCTACTCGGAAGGATCGCCGGAGCCCAGCAGGCGAGGCTGCGGTGGCCGGGAGCAGCCACTGCACTCCAGTCTGGGCAACAGAGTGAGACTCCGGCTCAAAAAAACAAACAAACAAACAAAAAAAAACCCATAAAAACAGAATCAAAGTTCCCATCTCTTACAAGCATATGAACACAAACACAGACAATTTTTCTACAAACTGTCCATATACTCCATGTGGGCTTTTATAGGCACTGCATCTTTGCTAGACTGCAAAGTATAGATCAGAGGGCCAAAAAAGCTGCATCAAATTCAAAGATGGAAGAACTCCAGAGACCTTCTAGGAGTGGGAATGGGATTGATTTACTCTCACTCTGACAGATTTACTATTGAAACACAGATGGTTACATAATTGGGGTACTGATGGGGCCCTAGATCCCCATCTACCTCTTTCAGAAGTTCCAGACCCAATGCCTCTTTACCTTCTCTCTTACCGAAGACATGGTGTCCACTTGGTAAGAGAGTGCCTTTGAAATAATCTTTAATATGTGTCACTCAGCACTTGGTGAACTCAGCTGACATGATTTGCCTTAGGACCCATGGGCCTAGAGAGTTCCCCTGCCCAGGCTTCAAAATCCTCTGGCTTGGACTGAAATCCCCTCTCCTGGATTTCACAACCCCAGTGGAGCACATTTCCCAAGAGACCCCACTGAGATGCGCCAAGAGAGAGCTCAAGAGCAGGGTTTGTCAAACTGTTCCAATCAGCTTCAGCTCATTTGTGGTCTGAGAAGAGCCAGAGGACAGTTTAGAAATCACTGGAGGTGGTGGCAAGCAGGAACACGGTGACTCCCAATAGGGGACTGCCTACAAGCTGGTAGAAAAAGCCAGGAAAGCCAGGGGCAGGTCCCAAAGATGAGGCATGGTGAATGCCCAAACTGGCAAACCCATGAGTCTGTCAGTGGCTAGGGCCTGACAGCAAGTTATACAGAGAAAGGAGAGGGGAGGGAGGTCAAACAGAAGAGAACTCCCCCCATTTGAGAAATGCTCAACTAGAAATTGAGGTTTCCAGGCAGCTCACAGGCGCCCCCAAATTCAGAGCAAAAGGCTGCTTCTAGCTCTTACCTCATTCCCCTGCTCTCCAAAAGCTGTTCTTGGTGCACTTGATGACTTCCTCTTTCCCTGTAGGCTCATTTTAACCTGATTCCTGCTAAAATGGGTGGAGGTGGGGTATTAACACACCGTGGGAATAGCAGTTGCCTGGCACTAAGGATGGTCTCCTTTCCACTTTGCTTTGAATCAGTTCCTCCAAAACAGCCTAAAACTTACAAGAGTTAGCTCAAAACACAAATGTGCTGTTTATTAATTTACATTCTTATTCATTCATTCACTTAAGGATGTGCAAAGAATGTCCAGCAGTCATCCCTACCTACATCTCCTCAGCATGCTTACTGGGAATTTCCCATACTTCTATCAGAACTAGGTAGGTTTGTTTCTCAGAACCCAAATTTAAACCGCCCACAGTGTTGAATGCAAAGCCAAATATTTGCAGCCCTATAGTCCACATCACCCACTTCCCCATTAACATTCAATTAAAATGTGTCCTCTCCAAGGCAACAGGCATGCCTGACACGTTGCCCTGCTCCCTTGAAGCTCTTCACTAACCTAAGACACAAGGACAGAAAAGTTAACTGGTGCTTTTAACAGCACCTCCAACGAGGATTTTGCTTACACCGTGAGAGCCCCAAGAAACACCAGGGTCTCCTTAGACGCTAGAGACAACGCCCTTTAGCAACAAGAAGCCGCACCCTCGGCCCAGCAGAGCCCACGCGTATCTCTCTTTCCCTGGGGCTAACCAAGTGCATGCCACATGTCACCACTCTCAGCTGGCAACTCTTCCCCAGAGGCGCAGATTTTCTCGGAATCCCCAACAGGAGGGAGGTTAAGGGATGGGGGGAGGCCCCGCCCATGTTGTCCACACAAGTCGTTCCACCGTGGCTCGTGCACTGCAGCCTCAAGAGGTAGCCTGGACCCTCAAGTAGGAGGGGGTAGTGGCTCCTTCCAGGACAAGCTGCCAGCCTCCCTAGCCCGGGCCATGAGCAAACGTGCGAGCGACAAAACTCTGGGTGTGAGAAATTAGCAAACTAGTCCGCGGCCAGATCTTCTTAGCCTCCTACGCCAAAGAGGGTTTGATTGGATCCCTGATCCCCGGACGCAGAGGGTGCTCGGGCTCCGGGCGCCGCAAGGGCGCCTGGCGTCTGGAGATGGGATAGTCTGTTCGCCCCTCCTGGTGCCCCGACTCCAGCCCTGCTCCGCGTCACCCCCACGTTGAGGCTGCGAAAGACAAGTTCGGCTGAAACAAAGGGCGCCCCCGCGCCTCCCTCCGTCCTGAGCGAAGGGTCCGGGCGGCTGCTCCAAGGGTCTCTGATGCCCAGCCAGGGAGGCAGCCCCGCCTCCGGCTCCTACCTGGGAAGCCACGGCACTGCGGAAGGCACAGCAACAGCAGCAGCAGCAGCAGAGGAGGCAACAGCAGCGCGGGCCGGAGTGCGGGGCTCCCCATGGCTAACCGGCGCTTTGCTCCGCTCCGCAGCGCAGCGAACTTCCAGGGGGCGGGAGGAGACCAAGCTGACCAAGGGGCTGCGCTGCGAGCCGGCGAGGGCCGGGCTGGAAAACTCCTCCTCTCGCTTCTTTCCCTCCCTCCTTCCCGCCTGGGGCCTGCCCTCCTTCCTCCGCCTCCCCAGAACACTGAGTGGTTCGGGGCTCCGACCCACCCACTCCCTCCGTTTGTGCCAGCCCTTCTTCTGGAAACGGGGCTGTCCCCCCAGGACCAGAGAGCGCCGGGGACGTGCCCCAGCAAACCGAAACATCCTAGAGTATCTTTCTCTGCTCCATCTGCGAGTCCCCTCACCCCGAATACACACACTGGTGGCTCAACCGCCTCCAAGAACCCGGGCGTCTAAAATGATGGCTACTGTCTGCAGAAAGCTGCGTGAGTCACACAGAGAAGGGGCAACCAAAGTGGCCCAGTGCGGGTAAATACTATCGCCACGTTCGTTGGTTTGACCCTCATGACGACGTTTCAAGTTCGCTATACTTATGTCCACTTTATCCAAGAAGAAACCCACGCTTGGAGACTTGTGTAGGTTCATCACATTACTGGCAGAGTGGGATTTGGGACTTGGATGTGTGGTTATGCTGGCGTCAAAGTCCATATTCCAGGAGGGGTTTTTTTGGGGGGGGGGGTTGTTTTTCTTTTGCGAAGGAATAAATCAAGGGCTGGAACGTGTGCTTGCCTGCTGTGCTGTGGTTTAGGATGAAGCTTGAAGTTCTTCTTCCAGTCAGCTGATGGAAGAGCACATGGCACAGAAAGTTCCCCGTCTCACCCACTGCCTCGGGGATACAGCTGTAGGTTCCTGCAGCCGGATTCCCCCATTTCCTGGGCTGTTGTCAGACACCCCAAAGACACCAGACCAGCCTGGAGCCTGCACCCTGTGGCCTGGCATTGCTAGATCCTAGCATCAGAATAGGGCTTCTAGGTTGCCTGCAAGACAGATCTGGTTTCTTTTGGGCACTTGATAAAGCCTCTCAAGACTTTTGTTTGTTTGTTTTGCTTTGTTTTTGGTAAACCCAGTAAGGCAGTATCTTGCCCCTCTGATGCTTCAGAGACATCTTACCTAAGGCAAATTCCAACTGGGACTGCTGCATTAGGTTTTGCACTTTGAGTACTGCACAAAGGCACCTGGGGGAAGGGGCAAGTAGGAAACCAAATTCAGCCACTTCTGGGTTCACAGAGCCCTCTGTCTTGGCACCAGCTACATCCACTGCAACTTTCTCTTTGCCACAGGAGTCTTGTCTGTTAGCTAGGCTAAGAGTCCTGGAAGCACTAAACCAGGTATTTTGCTTATCCAGAAAGGAGGCCCTTTCTCAATTCTCACAAAAGTCCCAGACTTGAACTGCTATCTGGTCCTGTCTAGGACTTAGGGCGATTTCACTCCATCTTCAGTGGGTTTCTCCACTGCCACTACCTCCTCAGGGAGCCAACAACCCTTCAATAGCTCCCCAGTCATAAGAAAAAGGGGGAGGTCAGGTTTTTCTGAGGCCTCCATCAGACCAGACTCTCCAGAAAATCATTCTCAATAGTGTATACACACAGGTCACCTGGACAGCTTCATAGAAAATACCATATTGGGCTTTATTCTGGACCAATGAAATCAGAATCTTTAGGGAATGTGACCTAGAGTTTGATCAGATACATACTTTTGCCCTCCTCCCCACCCCTGCCCTCATCAGGGGTGCAAGTTTTAGAATAGGATAAATTTTAGACCAAAGTTTCTCAGCCTAGGCATTATTAACATCTGGGACTGGATAAATTTTTTAAGGGGACTGCCCTGTGCACTGAGGGATGTTTAGCAGCACCTCTGGACGCTACACAACAGATATCAGTAGTAACTCCCCACTTTCCATTTGTGACAACTGAAATGTGTCTCCAGGTATTGCCAAGTACCCCAGGAGAAGAAATTGCCTCCAGTGGAGAACCACTTTTTTAGACCCGTGAGCAAGGGTTAATGTGCACCGCAAATATTAATACCGTGTCCAGGTTAGCCTGGCTTTTCTTTCCTATGTCACCTCTGAAAAAATGTCTCCTCACATAGACCAGCATACATTCTGTACTGGGCTGAGCAGAAACTTCTGGCTTTCTCCTATCATCTGAGTCTGGCTGAATGGCAGGAAATGCCACACTTGCTTTTAAAAGTTGCTCTCTGGCTTTTGAATATCCTCACAACAAAGAAATGATAAATACATGAGGTAATGGTCACACTAAATACCACGACTTGATCATTATACAGCATATATATGTATTGAAACATCAAATTGTGCCCCATAAATATATACTGCTACAATGTGTCAATTAAAAATGAAAACAAAAAGCAAAGAAAATGTGACATGTGAAGAAAAATCTCAAATATAATGTTTATAGCGCAAAATAACCTTTTTTCTTTGTGCAAGGATATTTTGAAGGAGCAAGCCAAGCTCAGCTGCTGTTTGTAAATCAAAATAACCCTTTCATTTTACCTGACAAAGAAAAGGGGTAGAACAAAGTTACGAGGTAATATTCTTACCTTATGGGAATACTAAAATAAATGCCATTTTTGTAAAAGTAAGGTATATATATCATATGGGCACACAATTAGGCATAATATTGGGAAAGCATGATTTGTCCTTGAAAAGCTTTCATTGTTCAATATAGACCCTGGGAAAAACTAATTTGAACAAGAAAATAAATTAAAAGAATCTGGAATTTTAAAAAATAACTCTCTTTGCAAATTACAATGGCACCTTTTTATTATTATTATTTTTCTAGGCCTCTCACTGGTAGAAGGGATGAGGACAGAGGGAAGGTGAGGGAAGAGGTTATCAATTCATCCCACAATATCTTGATAGACAATAGGATAGAGATGTAGATTCATAATTTGTCAAAAACTTATGTGTTAATGAATTAGTGGAGATGAAGAGGAGTCATGGAGGGAGTGAAACAGAGCTATGATCTCATTCCTGTCCTGTTTGATGTTATTAACTGCCAAAAGACATTTTTGGCATGGAACGTGAAGATAGGAGAGCGAGAAATAGGTTCCAAACACCTTTGTAGGCAGAAATGCTGTATTGACTTGAAATATTAAAAGATAGCAAAAACAAATATGATGTCCTATGTTGAATCTCAAAAGCAACTGCACATGAAAAAGTCTAAGTATCCCTAGAAAACCAAATAGTCTCCCCACTCCATCAGACTAATCTGTACAAAGAGATGCATACAAGGTATATATTAGACATTGTGCATAGTAGCAAAAAGTTGGTGACATCTTTGTAAATGTAAATATCCATTAATAAGGGAATGAGTTTATTAATCATGCATACCATGTAATGAAATTCTATGTATTCATTCAAAAGAATGAACAAGATGCATATGTACAGATAGGAAATATATGCCAAGATATCCCATTTAATGAAATAACAAGGAGAAAAACAATACATTTATTTTGCTACTACTTGTGGCATGGGGAAGACATAGTACCATACCAAGGTATGGGAAAGGTAGGGTAGGAGGAATGATTTTTCTATTACTATACAATCCTTTGTACTATTTAAATGTTTAAGCATGTGATGATATTTCTTATTTAAATTAAACAACTAAATCATTGAAAATGTTTTAAAAAACAATTACACAGCTACAGAGTAAGGGAAAGGCAGCTTCAAAGTAGTACTTGCAACAGTCCAGTCTAGTGCCCATAAGCTAAGAAAGACTGAGGCATTTCAGGGTTATGTAGACAGTGTCTGTCTGTCCTCTGAAGCATTCCCAAGTGCTGGGCAAAGTGCCAGAGGTGAGAAGACGGGAACACAGACATTAAAGTCTGGCAGGAGAAGGGAGGTGTCTTTCCAATCTATGCAGAGTTGAGGTTGAAAGTCAATAACACAGTCTTGTCTCCTGAGTCAGAGCAAAATGAGCCACAGTGGAGGAATAGGATTCCCAAGATTTGCCTCCCACTCTCTTCCTTGAGCTTGCCGACTCAGAGATAGCATTGGAGGAGAACCTGGCAGCTAACTACCTATCTATTGCAAGAGAGGTATTTTCTGAGAAAGTCAGAGTCAAGGCCCTTCTCTCTGTCTCTCCTATCGCCCTTCACTTCCTCGTTCTCCCTCCTCAAACCAGTTCTTCTCTTTCTGTATTTTTTCACATTAAAGGGATGGCAGTTTAAGGGGGAATATGGCGGCTCACTGTACTTTGGGAAATGGGTCAATAGAGTAAAAGTCAAGGAGACACTAAGGAGAGATGCATTCTAGGGCAGTGCTTCTCAAACCACCTGTGGCAAAGGACTATTTTTAAAAATTTCCAATCCATCACAGATCCATTCTTTTGTAAAATCCATAAACATAACTCACTAGAAAAATAAAATAGAAAGCAAGTCAAATACATGCAGAGCTCAAACTTTTATTATTAGATTCCACAGTTGTAAAATTATTCTATCAAATTGTTATAACAGTTTCCAAAGTCTTACTCTCCATTTCTGTACTTGTCTTTTTGAAACACTTCAGATAGCAGCACCAGACCAGGGACCACACTTTGAGTAGCACAGTTATAATGGATTTAGTCTTTCACATAATGTACATATACAAACTACAGGCTATATTAAACTTTCCAAGAACTCAAGAATAGCAGGACAAGGTGATTTGTCCTGAGTCTGTTGGAATCATGTGCAATGAATGCCAGATGAGTAGGGGTTGCTGGGCTGGTGCTTGTGCTCATGGGTTTCTTTTAAAAATCTAGCTCAGAGAGGGTTAAAGTGAGAATGTTCAAGGTTAAGGTTTTCTAAAAAGTAAGGGCAGTCTAAGAATAGTGTCTGTTTACAGTCTCCTGGCTTAAATAAATTTCTTTTCTTTCTAGGATAAATATTCAGAATGAAACAACGCACGCTCTAGGGGCAGAAAAAAATTCTGCAGCACAAGAAAAATGAAGTATTTTTATTCTAAAAATTCAAAGTAAAACAGATCTTTATTGTAAAAATAAACTACAACAAAAGTAAAGTCAATTTCAGAGAATAACCACTTGGTGTTTTTCATAAAAGATTCAAGAAAATGCTATAAAGTAGGACTAGGAAGTCATAAGAAGAACTGATA